ACCCAGTGCCAAAGCACATGGCTGTTGAAAATAACTGTTAATGGATCTAAAAGGAAACACGCAATCCAATATAATGACAATGTGGGACTTCAGCGTCCCTTTCCCTCAGTGGACAGACTGACTTCCTGGATTATCAACAAAGACATACCAGACATAATGACACATATCGGTCTAATTGATATCTACAGAACAATTCATATCACAGTTGTAGAATATACATTATTTTCATCAGTAAATGGAAGATACTCTAGAATAGAGCACATGCTGGAAAAAATAAAGCCTCAGCAAATCGAAAAATAATTGAAATCATACTACATACTTTTCCTCACCATCATGGAATGAAGCTGGAGATCAATGCAAAAAATCCTAGAAAGTATGCAAATACAAGAAGAATAAATTATGCTACTGAATGAAGAATAGGACACAGAAGAAACAAAAAGGGAAGTAAAATTATTCCTGGAAATGAATGAAAGCAACAACACAACTTAATAAAACTCATGGGATACAGCAGAATCATTTAGGGAATTTATAGAAATTGGTGCCTGAATCAAGAAACCAGTAATATATCAAACATATGACCTATCGATGTACTTCAATGTCCTACAAAAATAATACAACCACAAAGGTGTTGTAGCCCTACCCAGTCTAGTCAACACCAATCCCAGTTCTCACACTTGCCAGTGGGAGTAGTGGCCCAGCAAGGGAGAGTACTGCTCCCTATCAGGCTTATACTCCCCCAAGCCCATCAGGTTTATGTGTGCTGGTGGGTGCTGTGGCCCAGTCTGGTGTGGCTCGTCTCACCTCAGCATCTGCTGGCAGGTGATGTAGCCTGGCCTGGACTGGCCTTCCCCCAGTTCTAGCTCTTGCTGGTGGGTGCTGTAGCCTAGCCAGGCCCAGCCAGGCCCAAGTCCCAGCCGTAATGTGAACTGGTGGTGTTGTGGCCCAATCAGCCTGTCCCGCACCCCATCCAAATTCTCAAATCTGCCAGTGGGTGTTATGAACTGGCTCAGCCTGGCCCACCTTCAGACCTGACCCACCACATATGCCAGCAGGTACTGCAACCTGGCCTGGGCTGGACTGTTCCCAACCTCAGTTCTTGTGCTCACCTACAGGGACTGTGTTCCAACAGAAGAGTTCCCCAAGCTCCTCTATCACGTCCCTTCCAGTGGCAGATCTCACATACACCAATGGGTCCTTGGCCAAGACTGATTTAGTCCACCTTCTGTCTTGGCAGGAATACTGACCTTGCTCAACCAGCCCACACCCATTCTGGTGTCTTGTAATTGGGTACTACAGCCCAGTTACACTTGGTCCAACCACGACACAGCTCTCCTGTGTGACCTAGCCTAGCCTGACCTACACCCACCCTAGCCTGACCTAACCCACCCTGGCTCACATGAGCATCAGTGGGTGCTAGAGTCTAGCATGATTTGGTACATCCCAGACCCAGTTTGCAACTATGCTGAGGGACACTGCAGTCATGTCCATGCCAGATCACTGCCCCCATTCTCACACTTTCACATTCACCAGGAGGAACCACAACCCAGCTGGAGCATCCCATAGGCTCCTCAAAAAGGCCTGTTCCCAGCCTTTGAGTGTTCCCAGAACTTGAGTGTTCCAGTGGTTGCTCTGACCCAGCTTGGCATAGGCAATTCCCTGTCTTGACCTTTGCTATCAGATATTGCAGCCTGGCCTGGCCTGCTCCCAGTCCCAACTCTCACTGGCAGGTGCTGCAGCCTAGGCTTGCCCTATCTGCTTCCATCCCTGGCTTATGCACACTGACAGCCTAGCCTGGCATGAGCCACATTTCAGGCTGGCTCTTGCATATGCCAGTAGGATAAGGCTGGCCAAGCCTAGCCCAGGCTGCTCCCCTCCAGAGTCATGCTATACACTGACCAATGGGTGGAGCTACTTTGTCCAGCCTGACCAACACCCAGGCTTGGACCACATGCTCACCAGCATGAGCCATGGCCTATCAGGGAAGTTTTCCAAGTTCCCCCACCAGGTCCACTCTGGGACCCAGGTTGCACATGTGCCAGTGGGTGTTGGGCCTGGCATGGTCTGCCCCCTCAATCCTGGCCTTTGTATGAGCTAGTGGATGTTGTGGCCTGGCCTACCCCAACATCCTAGTTTTGGGGCACCTTCAGGTGCTACAGCCTGGACCTGCCCAGCCCATTCCCAACCTGTGTCAGAGGGTTCCATGGTCATGTCTAGCTCAGCCTGTCACTACCTCCAGTTCTTAAGCTAACTAACAGAAACTGCAGTTCCACAGGGGTGAACCCACATATCCCCACAGAATCTGTCCCTGGACCTGATTCTCTTGCATGCTAGCCAGTGCCATGGCCCAGACTAGCGAGACCCATCCTCTATTCCAACTGGCAAATACTGTGATCTAACCCTGCCCGGCAGGCCCCAAGCCCTAGCTTTAGTATGCACTGGTGAGTGTAATTGGCTGTTATTGATGCTAACCAGCTCAGCACAAGGTCTTCTACTTGGGCTGGTGTATCATTATGAACCAGAAAGGTGCTCCAGCCTCTCTCCTCCAAATCGACTAGTCTCAGCTTCCTTTTTTACCTGCAAATACAATGGCCTTGTCATTAGGAGTCTCTCAGAATTCATTTCTCACCTGCAACATACTCCCTCAGCAATACCCCCTCACCTTCATCCCCCAGCCCCTTTTCCTGATCAGCTCACAGTCCCTGTGCCCAGAAGCGCATTGGTTCTCCACCCTAGTGTGCTGGTCTGGGACTGTATCCCTCCACACATCCAAGATACAGGTCCAGTTAAAGTTCCCCAAGTTCAGTCACCAGCCCACCAAACCAGCATGCTAACCTGGGGCTCTTCCATCCCTACACCCTACCCTATCTGGGACCAAGCACTTGGGGAAATCCCCAGGCTCACTTTGCCTACCTGGGAGTGAGTCCCCAGGTCCCCACTGCTGCTGGTGCTATCCCACTGGCCCCCTGCAAGCCTGTATCCCCAGGACCCCATGAGCCAGCCCACCCTTGGCTGTCACTGGTGCAGGAATAATGGTGATGGGTGCCACCCCTGTTGTGGGAATAATCAAGATTTTTTATTTCTATTCAAAAGGCAGATTTATAGAGAGAATAAGGGAAGAAAAGAGATTGAGGGAAGAGGGAAGGGAAGAAGGTTAGGAGAATGGAGGGAAGCAGAGAAAGGGAGTAACTTTTAATCACTGTTCCACTCTCCAAATGGTTAAAACAGAGCTGAGCTGATCTTAAGCCTACAACCTCTTCTAAGTCTCCCATATGTTTCAGAGGCATACAGATTTGATCTATCCTTGGATCCATTCCTAGGTAATAAGCAAGTAGCTGGATTGAAAGTAGAGCTGCCAGTTACATGATCTGGTGCTCCTATCAGATGTTGGTAACACAAGCAGAGGATCAGCCAGGCCCCAGAAGGGCACTTTTTTTTTTTTTTTAAATAAATAGAATAGAGGCAGGCATGGACTGCTTCATTGCTGAATTCTACTGAATTTTCCAAGAACAAATTCCAACATTCCTCAAACTATTCAAAACAAATGAAAGGAAGGGAATCCTCCCCAACACCTTTTCTGAGGCTAATATTATTTGAGTTCTAAAATCAGAATTAGATACAACAAAGAAAGGGAACTGTCAACCAGTATACGTGATAAACATAGATGCAAAAGCCCTTAATAAATCACTAGCTAACCAACTTCAGCAATACAACAAAAAAGTCACTTACCTAAGCCATGCAAAATTTATCCCTGTTATGCAGGAATGGTTCAAGATATTTAAGTCGATAAATCAGACATATCACATTAACAAGCTGAAGCATTAAAACCCTATAATCATCTCAACAGACTTAGAGAAAGCATCAGATAAAATAAAAACCACCTTATTCGCATTGGGTATAAAAGGAAAAGTCCTCAATTCAATCAAGGCAATATGTGACAAACCAAAGACAGCAAAGCATGCAGAAAAGCAGAAGACTTTCCCATTAAGATCTAGAAGCAGACAAGTACACCCACTCTCACCACTGCTATTCCATACAGTCCTGGAAGTTGTAACCAAAGCTATTAGAAAAGAAAAAGAAATCAGTGGGATACAAATTGGAAAGCATAGTCAAGTTATTTCGGTTTTCAGATTACATGATTCTCTAGGGAAACCAAAAGACTACCAAGAGAGGGAATTAGAACTTGTAAGAGTTGATCAACTTGAAGACTACAAAACAAACACACAAAAAATCAATAGTGTTTTATGCACAAACAACCCCATAACTAAGAAATAACTTGTGTCAAATTGGTCTTGCAAAATTTTATATAGCTGTAAAATTAACAAATGGGAGTACATCAAGTTAAGAAGCTTATGCACTGCAAAGGAGCCATCAATAAAGTGAAAAGGGAGCCAGCAGAATGGGAGAAAATACATGCAACTGCACAATAGATAGAGGGCCAATATCCAGAATTTACAAAAAACAAAACACAAACACACAAAAAACTCAGCGACAACCAAAACAAAAACAATCTGGTTAAGAAATGGGCAAAGGGCATCAATAGATATTTTTCATAAATAAAATGTATATGTCTAATAGACATATTCTAAAATGCTCAGGTTCTCTATGTATCAGGAAATTTCAAATAAAAGTCACAATGAGGTACTATCCCACTCCAATTCTTTCTGATCTGTGACAACTACTACACAGAGTACAAATAGTACAGAAAGCTTTTAAGTGGCCTTATAAGTTACGCAGAAGCATGCTGATTGAGGCAACCCCACTTAAGTACATGTGTATTAAGGTACATCATAAAGTTTGTGGAAATGAGGAACTAAAAGATAAAATATTTCTCACCAAAATAAATGTTAAGTCTTGGGGCAGCTTTTTTTTATAATACACATTTTCCCATTAGCTTTTTGAAAACTGCTTGTAGATGAACTGAGACAGACCTTGCAAAAAGAGAAGACCTCAAAGTTTGAAGAAAATTGAATGCCAAAAAATGGTCAAAAATTCTCTACCCTCCCCAAATCTTACCATTTTCAATATAACTGCAACTCTTCCCTTGAAGTGACAGATTTCCTCACTCCTTGAATATGAGCTGCCCTAATGTGTTCATCATATGCTTATTACTACAACAAATACTGGAGAGAGGCTAATTGTGAAAAAAAAAAAGGCTTCTTTTCACTCACGGTTTTGGAGGTTCACACTCTGAAATCAGGCAGTTCCATTACTGTAGTGTCAGATGAAGATGGTGGAGAGCAGGGAAGCACATGGACGAAAGATCACCCTGTGAGCCAGCAAGCACAGAAAGAGCAACCAAGTTAGACTCAAACTTACTGAACCAACTCTTTCAAGAATTACCCTCTGAGATACATCCTAATGACTTACTGACTTCCACCTCTCCATCTCTCCAACACAATAGGATCAAGCCTCTATTCTCTCCCAATAGTGTCACCCTGGGCTATTATTTGGGCTACACCAAAGCTAACATGAAAGTCAAACTCTACCAAATAAAACAGTTAATATTTGCATTGAATGATAGAGTACAGCAGAAACAATAATGTGCCAGGAATCAAGATATTCTGCACCCTTTTTCACTCTCTCAAAACACTGGCCAAAGCCAAGTTAACAGTCCCAGCTAATCTGCTGGAGGTTGGGAAGGCCATGTGGTAAGGAGCCCAGTTGTCCCAGACCATGCCATCTATATCAGTACATCAAATAGCAAAAGACAGGAAGCAAACCTGAGTATGAGTGGCTTCTCTGTTCTTATCCAGGTGTTCCAGTCCAATGATTTATACTTAACTCTAAATACTCACCAAAGGCCCTAGGTCTAAATGCCAACCATATTCAAATTATAACATCATCCTAGATCAGTGAAGGAAACAGCCTTCTCCAAGTAAGTGAGAGATACAGGGAACTCTGGTTATTATCCAAGAAGGAAGAAATGGCAGGATGCTTCATGTCAGCATGGCAGTGGTTGAAATTAAGACTTTAGTCCATTTAAAATGAACTTTAATCAAATAAGTGAATAGCTTAAAAATAACATGAAGCTTATCAAGGAAAACACAATGTTAATCTATATGACTCATGTTCCAGCATTATTTCTTAGTCTAGTCTTCTTCTGGAATTGATCTTCCTATTTACAAATAGTATGTTTGTTCTCTATCAAATATCTATTTTGAATGTAACTCTTCACATTCATGACAGGTATTCTCCTGTCTTTCCTACTTCACTACTCTATAACCCTTATCCCAATTTACCAATAATTGATTTCAGCAGTTGAATATCATAATTTTTGTTCAATGAGTATACAATGCTTATATCAAAACATCTATACAAATATTGCTTACTGTTAGGTAGATATAGTACTTTATAATTTTTTATTCATCACATTCTTTTATATGCAGAGTTTTCTATGTACCAAATAAGTACATAATTTTCCCCAATACATATAAACAGAAACCCCACCCTCAGAATTTTTTGCATAGCCAGAAGCATCAGGTAGTTATTTATTTATGTATGTATTTATTTTATGAGAGCATTATCCTGGAATCTTTGTGTTCTAACTGGGACTGAATTTTTATGGATATTTTCTATGAATAGACATTTTCTATTTCTTTAAATATTTTAAAAAGAATTTGCAGCTCCTGTAGCTATTCTTGTGTCTGTCTCTCCCTTGGTTTACTTAATTGTGGCAGGGCACACTCTCCAGCAGCTTTTTCAAAATAAGGTCTTGCATGACTAAACTATCTTTAGTCTACGTATCTCCAGTTTAATTGTTTGATCAAGAATAGGAAACAACTTTCTCTTAGAATTTCTAATACATTGCTCAACTGTTTTTCTGGCTTTCAAAGTTTCTTTTGAGATCCTGGGTTCATTTCTTTTCATAATCACTGGCTTATTGCCTGCTTTGGTTTTTAGTGCTATTCATGTGTTTTACTCATTTTAGAAATATAAAAGCATCTGAAATTTTGCTATTATGTTCCTTGGTGTATCTTTATTTTCTTCCTTTCATTCATAATTGCAGGCAACACAATGCATTCTTTCATTCTGGAAACTTTTGCTCTTTTGTGGATTTAAAAAACAAATCCACATTGTCATTTTTTCTTTCTGAAAATTGCATTGGTCATATGTTAGACCTCCTGGCTTGCTTCTCTAGCTTTTTGAGTATTTCACTCCTATGTTCTATCTCCTTTCTGGAAAATATTTCCAACTTCATATTTAAACACTCTTTTTTCTTTTTGTTCAAAATTTATTTTTCATAAAATTCTTTTACTCTGATTTATCCAGAAATACATAATGAATAATAGCATGCAACATTTTTATTTTTGTTTCATGGTATTTATCATAATTAATTGAACCTGATTTCTCTTTTTCTTATTAAAAGGGTGGATTTACAAAGGAGAAAGATCTTCCATTCATTGATATTCCCCAAATGGCCTCAATGTCCAGAGCTGAGCCAATCCAAAGCTAGCAGGCAGGAGTTTCTTCTAAGTGTCCCATATGGGTGCGGGGTTCCAAGGCTTTGGGCCATCCTCTACTGCTTACCAAAGCCACAAGCAGGGAACTGGATGGGAACAGGAGCAACCAGGGCATGACCCATCACCCATATGAGATCCTGACATGTGCAAGGTGAGAATTTAGCCATTGAGTCATTGCACTGGGCCCATGATTTGTTTTTTTTTTTAAAAAGGTTTTTGTTTTTATTTTATCTTTATTTTCCTTATTGAAACTCATCTGATGATTCTTGAGGAGACCTAAATGGATGTTCCCTGTGTTTGTACAGGCAGAGCTTGTGACTCATACAGCAATGTGATATGAAAGTGAATTTTTTCTTAAAAAGGAAACCCATACCGTTGGTGTATTACAGGACTTTCATTTGGGACTTCTAGTCCTTTCATAGAGGAATATTTGAATCAGCAGTTACAGGGATGCAACCATGCAGAATATTCTGGACGTGCAGTGAAGTGCTAGTGTGCATTATTTATTGAGCAGACTAACTTTTCTTAACCACCTATTAAACCTAACCATGTTATCTCAGTATCTAGACCCACTTCCTACTCAAATTATGCAGAAAGTAAAATTTCCTTTACTATAGCTTAAAAGAGATAAAGTTTTGACAACACACATAATTTATTTCAAATAGCCAATTAGAATATGACTAAGCCTCTCTGGAAGCCTCTGTTTTTAAACTGTGCCAGCTAAAAAAAAGTCTTCACTATATCAATATTTCTGAAACTAAAATCTCATTTCTAATGTAGAAATTTGGTTACAGATTTTAAAATGACAGTTTTAAAAACTGATGAATAGATGCACCATTCAATATAAGCCACTTGGTTTCTCTAAATTTTCTAACTTACAGGCAAAGCCCGTACCTCCTGTTCTAAAATTACAAGCCCTTACCAAAACTGTCTATTCCACCCCAAATTTTAACCTCAGCTTGCACCCATTTTCATTAACTAAACAGTCCAATTTTCCTGGAATCCAGAGCAGAAGTACAGAACGGGAACCTTTTCTGTAGGAAGACAATTGATTAGATCTGTAGCAAGATAATTGAATAAGAGAGAATTTTGGGAAGCCTTGCCAGTGTGGAGTCATGGCCATCTGCAATCCTGTGGGAATGCTCTGGGAGCAGCTGAGATGGAAATGCACAGGCTAAGAACTCCTTAATCCTCAGCCCTAGATTACAAAAGATAGGTGCTTCTAGGCAGGGGTGCAAGAACTCCCATAGTGTCAAGTCAACCCCCTGTTTCTGCTGATATGTAAATTCCTCAAACCCTCCTTCTCAATGCCTACATGACCCTCCATCTTTAAAATCTGATGCTGCACTTAAATAATAGACTGATGGAATTATGACTCCTTATGCAGGACTATACTATTGTAGCAACATGGGGAAAATCTGTCGAGGGGTGGAAACTTGGGGGGTGGAATCCCAGGCTAAACAAAATTGTACCACAAAATTCAAAAATTCAAAATAAAAATTTAATTTAAAAAGTCTGATGCTGTTACTATACTTCAGCTATTGACCATCAGTCACTAGTTCACTAATTTGATCATCGGCTCCATGCACCAAGTCCATCACTGCCGGAGAGCAAACATTTTTTTCTAAACACAAAGAACTTAATTATTTAAAGTTATACCAATGAACTTACTGGTAAATTGAGAACCAAATATATAGTATTTAATTGCACTATTAATTGGTGGGTCTATTGTCAGGGGATTACAGAAATCTGCCACAGAGTCATAGTGTCTGGTAATAGTTATGTTTTCACCTCTCAATCAGTATAGACGTGTCAGAGAACAAATGAGGCTGAGAGTAATAGCCATCAAGGGAATTATAAAGAAGTGCTATTCATGATTGCACCGATCAAGGAATAGTCCTGCTATAAACAACTGTACTGCCAAACCTCTAACCCATGGCTCATCAGGTACAGTAGGCAACATACCTTTGTTTAAGTGGTGGCAACAATTACCCTATATGATGAGCACTACTCACCTCCAGCCTTGTCTGTGTTTTACTTATTTTTGCTGTATAGTCTCTAAGTCATTTAAATAATCCTAGAATAAAACTCAATGGTATTTATAGGAACACAGAAATATCCAGAACTCAAGAAAGGAAAAATGTAATATGTATAATATAATTTTAAAAGTACCAAGTAAGAAAAAGACCAGAAAAATATGACCTATAATTATGAGGGAAAAAAATCTAAATTGTCCAAGGATTGACAAAGATATTATTTAAAAGACAAAGACATGAAAATATTTTTATCTTATTTCATATGTTTCAAAGTTAAGTGAAGACATGGAAGATACAAAATAAGATCCCTAAGCTTTCAGGAACAAAAACTAATTTCTGAGATTAAAAATACACTGAATGAAGTTAATTGGGAAAGAAGTGGATGCTAAGCATTTTAATAGAAATTACTCAAAAACGGAAAAAATAAAATGAAATGAACATGAAATGAGCATAACTGAATTACCTAAATGAGAGACAAGTGAGGGTAGAAAAGATATTTACAAAATATGACAAAGGGAACCAGTGTTTGGTGCATTAGGTTAAGCTGCAATACCAACATCCTGTATTTAAGCACTAATTTGAGCCTCAGCTGCCCCAGTTGTGAGGAGTGATTCACATTTGTGAAGAACACTGCCATTTTTGATTTGGTGCCTTTTTAATTATTTTCTTCCCCTAGGTCTTGACTTCTTTAAGATTCACATGCCCTTTAGGTTCAAATTTCATGTCTGCCAATCAGCTGTCACTTCGTAACCCTGTTCCCACCAACCCGC